TGAGATAAATCGCCCGGATCCCGAGTGCGTTCGCAGAGAGCGGGAAGGGGATCAGGCTGTAGAAAAGGAGAAATCGGAGTCTTTTTCGGACGGCCCGAAGGTAGACTAACTTCGCGTTTCCTCAGAAAAGCAGCGAAGAAGAGGAGAAACAGCGCATCGTCGTTTATCCCGGAGGAGAGACACTAAAAACTCAGCCTTCGGGAAGGGTCCCCCTCCCCCAAGCTCCATAGCCGACTGCCCCCATAAATGCTTGGACTGCGGCAAGGGCTTCGTCACAGAAGCGAACCTGACCGTCGCAACCAGAGAAGTCCACCGGCTGGAAAGCTCTAACGACTGCTCCAATTGTGGCCACGTTTCTCCGTAATCTGTCTTGGATATGCACTTGAGGATGCACCTGGGACAGAACCCTTCAGCTGCGCCGACTGCGGCTTAAGTTTAAGCGCCACATTCGAGTCTCCGTACAGGCACCAGCGGATCACACCAGGGAAAAACCCTACAGTGCTCCCGAGTGCAGAAGAGCTTCAGTCAGATCGACCTGATCCGGCCTCAGCGGCTTCAACACGGGGGTGAACCCTATCGGTGCCCTGAATGCGGAAAGAGCTTCATCGGGGCGACTGCCTAGCTACTCATTCAGAAAATCCACGTGGGGAAAGAGCAAGGAGAACTCAGACCGCAGCCAAGACTTTTGTGAATAAATCAAGTCCTTTCAGCACTTGAGAATTGTTTCCGGTGGGGCATTGGGTACGACACACAACCACAAGTCGGTTTCTCACAAAATGGAAGCGATGCCCAATCTTTTTCAGGATAAGAAGTTGTCACGCTAATTATGATTAGTAGCTGACAGGCAGAAGTGATATATTAAGAGAATGAGTCAGCAGAGTATTTGGGGGTAGTATCCCTTTAATGGCAGTTGGAACCTGCTGGCTCACTTCAACCCTTTGAATATAACTGACTATCTTGTATTCTCTATGCTCCCTGAATATTGTTTTTTTCACATTGTATATTAAACCACGGTTCTTTTAACGAACCACTATCAGGTGTTTATGCTCTTGTGTTATATCACAAGAAGAAAATAAGAAAAAGGCTGCGATCATTTATATTTTTAAACAACAAAAGGGACGCAGTATTTCAGGAGCGTGGGATTGGGGGGTGCGTGTTCCTAAATTGGCAGGAGTGGGACAGAACCTGAATTTGATACCATTTAAATTTGAATGCAGTCCTTTTTCTCTCATCAAAGAATCTCCCCCGAGCCAGAAATCACAAGAGTGAATTGGGGGGGGAGACAGTAAGAGCAGCTCCCGCCTTTGCATTTTAATAAAGTTGTGTAAATGCTCAGAGGGTAATAAAAGCCTTTTCAGAGAAATCTTTCACAGTGGTCATCATAGCCACACATGTTTGAGTAGTAGAAGGCGGTGATTCTCAAGCTTAGCAAGATGCGTGGACTTCAACTCCCAGAATTCCTCCGCCAGATTTGCTTTGATGGCTGGGGAATTCTGGGAGTTGAAGTCCACGTATCTTAAAGTTGCTAAGATTGAGAAACTGATCTATGTACAAAGAAGAAAGAATAAAAACGAGGAGGACAACTGATTAGAAACCTGTTATTTTTCATCAGCCTGTGAAATTGAAATTCTGTTGCTTGCATACATAACACACATACAAACATGCCATATACAACATATGTATATACCTACACCCTTATGTATAAATACATGATATAAATATTAATCACCGTCCATCTTGAGTAGTTTTACCTTTATTAGGGGAAGAACAAGAAAACAAGCAAGTTTAGACTTCCACTTGTGCATTGCAAAAAAAAAAAAAAGATTTTTAAAGTCAGTTCTGATCAGCTAGAGGAGATTTACCTTTTGCTTGGGTTTGGTAAAATCAATAAAATCTATGAGCTAACAATCTCAACAGGTATAAAAAAGGGAAGAAAAAATAGGGAAGAAAAAAAGGAATAATTGGGAACCAATTGTTTAATTGTTCTTATATACAGGTGGTCCTCACCTTATGACCACAATTGAGCCCCAAATTTCTGTTGTTCAGGGATACTGTTGTTAAGTGAGTTTTGCCCCATTTTACGACTTTTCTGGCCACAGTTGTTAAGTGAGTCACTGCAATTGGTAAATGAATCTGGCTTCCCTATGGATTTTGCTTATGAGAAGGTCACGTGACCTTGGGACACAGCAATGGTCATAAATATGAACCAGTTGTCCATCACAAATGATGTGAATTTTAATCACAGGATCATGGGGATGCTGCAAAGATTGTAACTGTGAATAATGGTCATAAGTCACATTTTTCAGTGCCGTGACTTTGTAGGGCACTGGAACACAAGTAGTTAGCTTAATGATCGGTTCCTTGATGACAGTTTGTAGTTATGACAGATCACCTCCTCCCTCCCCCCCCCACAAAATACAACTCATTCTCAGTTTATTTTTATTTGTTTTAATCATTTAACTTTCGGCAGTAAGACTACCAGAACTATCAGCCTCTGCCAAGCTGCAGCGTTGAGAAATCAAGGCCCTCAAATATTCTCAAAGGCTTTAAATAAAAGGTTTAAACCAGGGGTAGACAACCTTGGTTCTTTTATGACTCGTGGACTTCAACTCCCAGAATTCCTGAGCCAGCCATGCTGAGGGGAAAGGGAGAGGTTTCCAAGCTGAGCTATGCTGGCTCAGGAATTCTGGGAGTTGAAGTCCACGAGTCATAAAAGAGCCAAGGTTGCCTATCCTTGGTTTAAACAAAGTGATCCAGCGCTGTTTCCTAGAGAGGCCAAAGGAAGGGTGAGAAAGGGTGGAATGAAGTCATGGACATCTCTTTCCTTGGTTTTGAATTTTCTCAAAGCCAAAGAAGAAGTAGATGGAGAAATGGCTATAGAAATGAAGGCCCAGAGCGGAGATATTTCCTTCAGAAAGGGTGAAAGACTAGAAATAGAAGGAGACTCTCTTAAATCCTCCAGCTAATCTTTCTGCTTTCCTTCAGGGGAGCTGATTCCCAGCAGGATCCTTCCTGAGCTGGTCCTCCCACAGCAGAGGGGGAGCATATAGAATACAATAGAATAAAAGAGTTGGAAGGGACCTTGGAGGTCTTCTAGTCCAACCCCCTGTTCAAGCAGGAGACCATACCATTCCAGACATGTGACTGTCCAGTCTCTTCTTTAAAACCTCCAGCGTTGGAGCACCCACAACTTCTGAGGGCAAGCACAACACAAATTGGAATTGTTCTCTCAGGAAATTTCTCCTTATTTCCAGATTGGATAGCTCCTTGATTAGTTTCCATCCATTGCTCCTTGTCCTGCCTTCAGGTGCTTATAGGTTGACTCCAGTGGTGGGATTCAAATATGTGAACAACCGGTTCTATGTGTGGATGCCGCTACCGGAAGTCCATTCTGGGCCTGGGCAACAAAAAATTAGCTGCCGGTTCTGCCGAAGTGGTGCGAACCGGCTGAATCCCACCACTGGTTGATTCCTTCTTCCTTGTGAGCAGCCGCTTAGATATTGGAAGACTGCTGTCATGTCATCTCTTGAACACATCGTTCCAAAAACCATCACTTGTTGTCTTTTTTGTAGAAATGCCGCTTTGAAATTTGCGGGAGCTGAGAAGATAGCTGAATGGACTTTCCAAAATGTGCCTAGCTAATTTGTGACTTGAATTCACTCAACTTATTTAATAGCCTAGCCCCGAGACAGAAATATTTTTGGAAATATTTAAAAGGCAGAATATATTTCCCTAAAGGATTTTAAAAGCCGAGGTGGCGCAGCAGTTAGAGTGCAGTACTGCAGGCCACTTTAGCTGACTGTGTTCAGCAGGTCAGCGGTTCAAATCTCACCGGCTCAAGGTTGACTCAGCCTTCCATCCTTCCGAGGTAGGTAAAATGAGGACCCAGATTGGTGGGGGCAATGTAAATATATATATATATACATTGCTTACTGGTGTACACCGCTTAGAGAGTGCTTGCACTTAAAGCGGTATATAAGTCTCATAAATAAATAAAAGCAGAAACCAACCCCGCCCCCAAGTCTCTTTGTCCCAAATTTGCAGATGTGATAATCTTGTCAGAAAGACTGGAATCAGGAAACTGGGATTAGGAACAAAAATCCTTAGAATCAGCACACCAAAAATCCCTTCTTTCTAAAGCAGTTGCCATGTTGTTTATTCCCAGCTTGGACTGAACAGATCAAAGCATACATTAACCATATTTAACGTTAGACATGAATGCCACCCTTGGGTTTTTAACTAGGCTAGTCAAGTATGTTGTGTGGGCCAAGAATTAATCCAACTAATTCAGCAATTTAGCATTTTAAGGATGTTTAAAACCTGGCTCTGCCAGTTAGCTTGTTGAAGGCGGCGGGTGGATTTATACCCTATTTAACATTTGAAATATTTTAATATTTAGGATTTTAATTGTAAGCCGCCCAGAGTTGCTTTTCAGACTGAGATGGGTGGCATATAAATTTAATAAATAAATCCAGATTAAGCTAGCAATGCTCTGGGGGCGTGTATGCAAAGTATGGTTAACCTGTATGGTTAACTACAACAGAACTTCCAAGATAGTGCTGCAGCTGCCATAAAAGCCAACACAGTGCTAGGCTGTATTAACAGAGGGATAGCATCAAGATCATGTGAAGTATTAATACCACTCTACAAGGCCTTGGTAAGGCCACACTCGGAATCCTGCATCCAGTTTTGGTCACCACAATGTAAAAAAGATGTTGAGACTCTAGAACACTGTTTCTCAACTTTGACAATTTTAAGGCATGTGGACTTCAACTCCCAGAATTCCACAGCCAGCATTGCTGGCTGTGGAATTCTGGGAGTTGAAGTCCACATGCCTTAACATTGTCAAGGTTGAGAAACACTGCTCTAGAAAGAGTACAGAGAAGACCAACAAAGATGATTAGGGGACTGGAGGCTAAAGCATATGAAGGAAAAGCGCCTTCTTTGGGGCAGCTGCTCCGTTTCCTGGGGGCTCCCGCTCCCCCGCCTCTCCCTCTTCCTTCCTCCTCAAGGAACAGGGCGACTTTACGGGCCCGCTCCGCCCCGCCCCGCTGAGGCTCCATTAGCCCAAGCAAGCCCCGTCCTTCTCCAGGGAAAAGGGACGCGGAGGGGTTAAAGCAGACAAGTTCGGCTGCCTAGAACAGACGACTGTGGCGGTGGCTGGGGGGGGAAGCGAGCGCGCGCGCGCGCACCCTCGGGAAGACAAGGACTTTCTTCCCTCCCCCTCCTTGTTTTCTCCGCGCGGAAAAAGCGAAGCGCGGCGCGCGCGCCAGGTGAACGGGCCGACTTGACAGCGGTGGGAGGGCAGGAAGGAGGTAAGAAGAGCCGCCCGGGGAAGAGGGGAGAGAAGTGCCTTCCCCCCCCCTCCGCAATTCCACCCTCCCTCTACCATTTTCCCGGTCGGGTTCCAGGCTGGTTCCGGCTTTGCAAAGCTAACCCGTTGCTGCACCCGTCCGGCCTCCCTCGACCCGCTGCTCCGATTCCCGGTTCTTGGAGGGGGCTTCCCACCCACGCGTGTCCGCTGTGAGTGCGACGCCCGTCGGTTGGGTCCAAACAGGAGGGGATCCGCTGGGAGGGAGGGGGGGAGGGAGGATGGGCGTCGGAGGGCAGCAAATGCCTGGCTGAAATGGCATGCCTGCACATGCAGTACACGCGCGCGCGCGCGCACACGTGTAAGTGCAAACCTTAGGAAAGCCACACCTGGAATATACTTGCATCCAGTTTTGGTCAGTGTTGACTGATTTTCCTCCCCCTGTTGCAGAGGGTTGGAGTGATATGCTGGTTGGGGAGTTCTGGGAGTTGAAGTCCACATACCTTAAAATTGCTGAGGTTGAGAAACACTGGGTTCACACGAGCTTAGCGGTCCCTTCCAACTCCACCATCCAATAATTCTAAAAAAAAAATTCCATTTAAAACAAGTGAGTTTGCAGATTGCTCTAATTGTGGACTTCATTCTAACGGAGTTAACTTTCCACTCCATCATCTAGGTTGCGGTGGTTTGTTCACCAAGCCAAAAGTAAATCCAGTCAACCTTGGTGGGAATTCTTGGAAGCCTTCAGGACTGAAGCAGAAAGATGGATCCTAACCGGGAATTGCCGCATATCCATTTTCAAGAATCGGCAAAAGAACCGAAAATGGTAATCATCACATTCAGCTGGCTTTTCTTCAAGCTTCTGTGCTAATTTTTTTAAACAGAATACCAGTCTTCGTTTATTCAAGGCACCATACAGAACACTCCCTCTTCCCGTTCCCCTCCACGACAACCTTGTGAGGTAGGCTAGATTGAAAGTGGCCCAAATTCCCCCCACGAGCATCTGTGGCTGAGAGGGGAAGTAAATCTGGGTCTTCCCTGTCCTAATCTGATCCCTCAGTTTTTACACACACACCCTGGCACACCTAAAAATGTTTTCCCCCTTTAAAAAAAATATGTTAAATATGTTCTTGAGTAAAGATCGGTCTTGCATTTGGGCAGTTTTGCAGGAGTTTCTCATTGACTTTTTTCTGAGATCTCTTTTCACATCCCACAGCTGTGGATTCCCAGGATCCCCCATCCAATTGCTAACCAGATCTGACCCTGCTTCACTTCCAACCTCCAAACCGGCTCCCGAAATTTCTACCCTCTTGCTCCAATTACAGGTGGTCCTCGATTTAACGACCACAATTGAGCCCAAAATGTATGTGGCTAAGTGAGAAATTGGTTAAGTGAGACTTGCCCCCATTTTACGACTTTTCTTGCCAGATGTGCTAAGTCAGGGGTAGGCAACCTTGGCTCTTTTATGACTCGTGGACTTCAACTCCCAGAATTCCTGAGCCAGCCATGCTGAGGGGAAAGGGAGAGGTTTCCAAACTGAGCCAGGCTGGCTCAGGAATTCTGGGAATTGAAGTCCACGAGTCATAAAAGAGCCAAGGTTGCCTAGCCCTGCCCTATACCATTTCAGAGAAGTGACTGTCTAGGACAGGGGTCTTCAGACTTGGCTCTTTTATGACTCGTGGACTTCAACTCCCAGAATTCCTGAGCCAGCCATGCTGAGGGGAAAGGGAGAGGTTTCCAAGCTGAGCCATGCGGGCTCAGGAATTCTGGGAGTTGAAGTCCACGAGTCATAACAGAGCCAAGGTTGGCTACCCCTGTGCTAAGTAAATCATTGCAGTTGTTATAATTAGTAACCCAGTTGTTAAATGAGTCTAGCTTTCACTTTGCTTGTGAGAAAGTCACCAGAGGGGATCACGTGACACCGGGAGACGGCAACCGTCATAAAGGTGAGCCAGCTGTCACAGAAAAAAAGCCAGAATCAGACTGAAAAGAGAAATTTAAAATTGTGTAATGGGTTAAAAGACAATGTTGGATTTATGGACTGTTTTAAGGATTAAGATTTAGAGCTAGAAGTAAGAAAAAAATATAGGAGGGTGATTATTAGAATAGATATTTTAAATAGATTAAGAATGTACCTTTTGGCATAATAGGTTTATTTTGATGAAAATTATTATGCATTGGAATTTAAAAAACGTTGACTTTTAGATTTGGATAATTTCAATAATTAACAGAGCGTTTTAAATTAGTAAGATGACCTTTCTGTATGATAATATAGATAGGATAAGGCATGATAATCAATTGGATGAAATTTGATTTTTGTTTAATGAATGGAAATGATTTAAGGTTTAACATTATTTTGTTATCTTAAAGAGATTGATTGACTGTGGGATTATATATGTATAGGGTAGATTAATATTTTATTTTAATTAGGATATCTATTGTGTAGTGGAAGAAGAAATAAATGAGACTGGTGATAAAATTAGGGATGTGACAGATTAAGAATTAGAATATATCTGGAAAGGATACCTGAATTGATAACTTGTTGATTTAAAGTTAAATTTGATTATGGTAATTGTAAACTGACAAAGTTTTAAAACAGGTTTAGCAGTAATAGAAATTTAAATTAGAAATGGAATATTTTAAACGTATTATGCTATTTGAGGGAAATAGAGAGGGGATAGTGAATGCATTGTGTTGAGTTGTTTACATATGTTTTCACTTTTGAATGTTTGATTACCCAAACACCACGGTGTGTCCTGAGTGCTTTTTCTTAAGAATTAAAAAAACCAATAAAATGTGTTTAAAAAATAAATAAATAAAGGTGAGCCAGTTGTCAAGCATCCGAATGTAAATCACGTGACCATGGGGGATGCTGCTGTGGTTGTAAGTGTGAAGTCACTTTTTGTGGTGCCGTTGTAACTTCGAATGGTCACTCAGTGAGTCGAGGACTATCTGCGCACCACCAAATCATTGCGTCCTCCTTTGTGTGGCCAAAAATAATAAAAGGCAGTTTCCCTATTCCCAAAACGAAGTTGCCCAATCCTGCAGTTAAGTGGAGGGTGCAAGGCAGGTTGAGGTCTTCACATCTGGCTGACTTTCTCGGTGCTTGTAGGAGTCCAGGAGTCCAAACCGCTCCGGTGCCACCCAGTCATTCTGGGACTCTGAGTTGGGGCTGCTGCGCGTGATCGTCAAGGAAGAAGATGACAGCGAAGAGGCCAATCCATCAGGTAAAGAGGAACATCACGGGTTGGGGGGCTCAGGGGGGGGGGTGGAGGGAGAACTGAGGGGGTCTTGGATGCCCTGAAATTCCTACCAAGCCATTGCTCAGTGGTGGGATTCAACTAGTTCGCACCAGTTCGGCAGAACCGGTAGCTAATTTTTTTGTTGCCCAGGCCCAGAATAGACTTCCGTAAGCAGCATCCACACAGAGAACTGGTTGTTCATCTATTTGAATCCCACCACTGCCATCACTTCCTTGTGGATGCCGGGATCCATTTCCCTTGACAATACAACAGTGCTCAATATGAATTCTGGGCAGCTGGTGTTCTATCCCAGCCTATTGTCGTCTTTGTTAACTTCGCAAGGACAAAACCCCTGCTACTATAATAGGCTGGAGACTTGCAAACCAAAACCAAAACCCCTTTTAATTCTGTTGACAAACCTGTCAAATACAGCAAACTCAAGTCCAAAAGAACACGATGAAAAGCAGACACGAAGTTACAAGAGAAGTCACAGACCAAGATTCCAAGAAGCAGTTTTCAAACAGTTGCCTTCAGCAACCAGCACCACCCACACCTCCTCCCTTTATTTAGCAGACCTAAGGCGGTGCCTCTCCTTGTTGTTTCTTCTTACTTTGGAGGTGCCTCATTGACCTCTGTTGACTTACTCTTGCTAATTGAGCCGTCTGCGTCAGTTAGCAAGTCCATCTGTTGTGATTCTTCCACTCATGCTCCTCACACAGCTGAGCTTCATCAGAAACAGGACTGGAGGGCCCAGGCTCTGCATCCAACTGTAAGTCCTGTACTTCAGAGCCTCCCTCTGGCTCTGATGGCCCTTCAAATGCCTCCTCCACCTCCTCCCCAGATTCCTCCTACTCAGCTGTGGGGAGCACAGGCTGGCACAGAATCACAACAGCTGGGATGTTCATTCTGGGCACATCACAAGAGTTCAGTCACCGTTTTCTTGAGACAGACTTGCAGATGCAAGAAAGAAGGGGGCAGGTTTCTACCTGGTGAATAGTATGTACTGGTAGTCCTCTACTTATGACCAAAACTGGGATTGGAATGCCTATCGCTAATAAACTTAAACTTTATTACAGTCGTAGACCAGCAATAGCCATCACTTTTTGCAATATATTAATAATAATAAAAATAGTACTAACATTAAGATCATGTGAAGTATTAATACCACTTTACAGTGCCTTGGTAAGGCCACACTTGGAATACTGCATCCAGTTTTGGTCACCACGATGTAAAAAAGATGTTGAGACTCTAGAAAGAGTACAGAGAAGAGCAACAAAGATGATTAGGGGACTGGAGGCTAAAACATATAAGGAACGGTTGCTAGAATTGGGTATGTCTAGTTTAACGAAGAGAAGGACAAGGGGGGACATGATAGCAGTATTCCAATATCTCAGGGGCTGCCATAAAGAAGAGGGAATTAAGCTATTTTCCAAAGCACCTGAAGGCAGGACAAGAAGCAACGGGTGGAAACTAATCAAGGAGAGAAGCAACCTAGAACTAAGGAGAAACTTCCTGACAGTGAGAACAATTAATCAGTGGAACAGCCTGCCTCCAGAAGCAGTAAATGCTCCAACACTGGAAGTTTTTAAGAAGAGACTGGACAGCCATTTGTCTGAAATGGTATAGGGTTTCCTGCCCGAGCAGGGGGTTGGACTAGATGACCTCCAAGGTCCCTTCCAACTTTACTACTATTATTATTATTAATAATAGTAAATAATAACATCCCTGTTAAGAAAATACATGTTCTCGAAATGTTAGGGTCACTCTCTAATTTACATGAGTGGATAGCCAATTAATGTGTGAGTAAATATAATGTTCCAAACATTATTAGAGATATCTCCCAAAAATTGGCACAAGTTGACGACTATAAATCTATAACCAATTTTTTTCTTGTGGACATTGCCTATCGCTAAGCAATGGAATTGTTAAGTCAACGGTGTAACTGTAGGTTAATCCAGCTACTCCCACTGAAATTGCTTGTCAGAAACTACCTGGGAAGGTAATAAATGGTGACCACATGACCGTGAGATACTGCAACACTTGTAAAATACAGGCCAGTTTCCCAGCGTCTAAATTTTGATCATATGACCGTGTTAACGCTGTGGGAGTCATAAGTGTAAGGGGGGTGGCAATTCCACTTTTTTCAGTATCGTCGTACATTTGAACAGTTGTTAAAAGAAAGATTTTAAGTTGGGACTACCTGTATTGAATGTGTAGCTTGTCTTTTTTTTTCTGAGACCTCAAAGAGAGGGGTTGCCCAAATGTTCTTCCTGCAGTATTGATGACAAACCTGCGAAGCAAGATGGGCCATGACAAAAATGACCGGCCCAAGAGCCAGAGTGCAGAAGCAGAATCTGAAGGTGGATTTTTCTAGGCCATAGGTGTGGAACGATGGCCCCTTTAATGACTTGAGGACTTCAACTCCCAGAATTCCTGAGCTGGCTGGGAGTTGAAGTCCACAAGTCATAAATGGGTCATTTTTCCCTCATGGTGGCTCAGGAATTCTGGGAGTTGAAGTCCACAAGTCATAAAAGGGCCATTTTTCCTCATGGTGGCTCAGGAATTCTGGGAGTTGAAGCCCACAAGTCACAAAAGGGCCATCATTAACCATGCTGGCTCAGGAATTCTGGGAGTTGAAGTCCACAAGTCAAAAAGGGCCATCATTAATCATGCTGGCTCAGGAATTCTGGGAGTTGAAGTCCACAAGTCACAAAAGGGCCATCCTTCCCCATGCTGGTTCAGGAATTCCCCATTCTAGGCCAAGACCATCACTTGAATGGCTGTATAATAGAGAAAAAGCCTGATTAAGCATGTTGGGCAAATCTAGTATGGGTTTAATAAGCTTCCTCACGCCTAAGCTGTATTGATAAATTGGCATTAAAGGACCATACTCGCTCTTTTTATTTATTTACTTATCGAGCCACATTAGACAGCCCTGATGTGTTCAGTTGGAAACGAGGTTGGAATTTTAGACTTTCGCCAAGTGATTAGAAAGTTGTTTCCCTCATGACGTTTAATTATGCTTAACCCTGTTTGGGGAAAGATAAGCCTAAAATGTTTTACATTTATTTTATTTTTCTTTCCTGAAGAAAACTGGACGGCAAGATCAACCACAGAGGGAGGTTCCTTCCCCGAAAGATTCACTTCGGAGCATCAGCTGAAACGTTCGCCAGAAAATACGCAGGACAGTATTTTTCCTCCGGTGAAAGTGGGTGAGTGTAATATCCACCCTCCTGTGAGCATCTTGAAGAGATCAGCTCTCTATTCCAAGGTATTTGAGTACGGTTATGAAACTGATCACGATGTGGGATGAGATGTCTGCCGTTCCAGCCATAGTTCTGGAAGGTGGCTTAGCCATCAAATCTTTTGCTTGACAGTTTCTGTGAAGGGAGCCTGCCCATTATGGCTATAGGTTGTAACAGTCACGACAAACCCAATTTTATTACCTTTCCTGCAGTGGTTGTTAAACAAATCCTGGGCTGTAAAGGGGCTGTAGCAGTCATTAAGCCAACACCACAGTCGTTAAGTAAACCAATAGTTCACTATAGGTCAGTGATGGCAAACCATTTAGAGCAGTGGTTCTCAACCTTTTTAATGCTGCGACCCCAACCGGTCATAAGTCGAGGACTACCCAACCGGTCGTAAGTCGAGGACTTTCCCTGCCCGGGAACGCCACGCATGCGTGGTGCTGACCCTGTGCCAGCCGAGGCATAGCTGGCAAGCGGCAGAGACGTAGCAGGCCAACCACCGGCTGGGCCACTATCTGGATGCGGCCCGCGAAGTGGTTTCATGTGGCCTGCAAAGCCATCTTGGAAACAGTGAGGGAACGGCCCCTGCTACTTTGGCCCAGGCCGGCCGGGAGCCAATGTACAATTTTGTGGTGGCCATCTTGGCACTTGCCCCAATGGACCATGCCTTGGCACTTGCCCCAGTCCCACCCCCTTCTGCCAGAGACCCTCAGATCTGTCCCACTCCTGCCCAGGCCCCCCATAGGCACCCGTGACGCGAATGATGTAGAAATGGCCACGCCTGCCCAGTAGGCCACACCCACTCCATCCACGCCCAACCAATAGGCTGCACCCACTCTGGCCACACCCGCCCCAGGGCAACCGCAAAGCTGATGCGGCCCTCAGTGAAATTGAGTTTGACACCCCTGCTTTAAGGGAATTCTTTCTTATTATTATTATAATTTTTGTTAGTTTTTTACACAAACATAAGTCATTTAATAGTTGGTAAACAATGTGGTGCCTGGGTTACATTTGTAAAAACAGTCCTGCTTTAAGGGAATTCTTGTTACTTTAACGGTAGTCCTGGCTTGCATGGGGTTGGTTCCTTCGTCCAGTTATCTGACAGGGCCAAAAGCCCAGCCCTTTCCAGGCTCCTCTAAGACATATTTTTCCCGTGTTCCCGCAGAAACCATCCAGATTAAGGAGGAGCCCGCAGAGATATCTGTAACGATACTCGAGCACCCCAATGCCGAAGGGACGAGTCCCAACAAGTGCGCCCTGTGCGGAAAGACCTTCAGTTGCAAGTCGGACCTCACCAGACACCAGAGGACTCACACGGGCGAGAAGCCCTTCCGATGCTTCGAGTGTGGGAAAAGCTTCAGCCGAGGAGATTATCTGATTTTGCACCAAAAGCTGCACCGGGGGGAGAAGCCCTACAAGTGCTCCGAGTGCGGCAAGGGCTTCTACCGAAGCACCCGGCTGATTTCCCACAAAAAGGTCCACCTGGCCGAGAAACTCTACAAGTGTTTCCGTTGCGGCAAGAGCTTTGGCGACGAGGCCAAGCTTGCCCAACACAAGCAGGCCAAGCACACGAACGAGCGGCCGCACACCTGTCCCGAGTGCGGCAAGAGCTTCCGCCGGAGCACGCACCTCACCAGGCACCAGAAAATCCACGCCCGCAAGGCCCGCTACCGCTGCCTGCAGTGCGAGAAGACCTTCACTTGTCGAAAGCACCTCCTGTCCCACGAGCGGACTCACACGGGAGACAAGCCCTACAAATGCTTGGACTGCGGCAAGAGGTTCAGCTTCAGCGGGAACCTCGCCTCGCACCTGAGGATGCACACGGGGGAGAAGCCGTACCTGTGCCTCGAGTGCGGGAAGAGTTTCAGCCGGAGCGCCCACCTCACTCTGCATCAGAGGACCCACACCGGGGAGAAGCCGTACACCTGCCTGGAGTGCGGGCGAGCCTTCAGCCAAAGCAGCAACCTCACCTCCCATCAGCGCATCCACACCGGGGAGAAGCCGTACGAGTGTCCCGTGTGCGGGAAACAGTTTTCGCGGGGCGACTCGCTGGTCTCGCATCAGAGGATCCACGCCGCCGAAATCATCTGATCCGGGGTTTGAAGAGCGTTTGGCACAACAGGGCCTCTTGGCAACAGGCTTCGGTTGCGAGGGGGGGACAAAAAGGAAAAGATGGCAGACTCTTGCTTCGTGTCAAAATAATCGCTGTGTGTGAGAAGCTTCGTCATTGTTGCCTTTGAAGGTTCTCAAAGGTCACGGTTGTCTCAAAGTTGCTTTTTTCCAAAAGATAACCGGAGTTTCTTGGGGTTTTTTTTTCCTTGAAAACGTTTCGCTTCTTGGGGAAAAAAAAAAAGTCAGGTTGCCTTTCAGAAAAAAAAGCACCTTTCGGACTTCTTCATTTGTTACATACATGGACAAACAGAATTGGAAAACGATAGTCAAGGACAGTGTATTATTATATGTTATGGAGGTTAATAAGATAATAAGCAACACCCTGCTGGATCGGACCCCAGGCCCACCTTGCCTGGCCAAGGAAGCCCTCAGGTCTTCCAGAAGATGGCCTTCAGAGACAGCCATCCTGCCATCCAGACTTCCAGAAGTGGCATCCACGCACTTCCGGTGGGCCGTTCTGGGCCTGGGAAGCCGCCCCGGCTCAGAACGGACTTCCAGAGGTGGCATCCACGCACTTCTGGTGGGCCATTCTGGGCCTGGGAGGCCTCCCTGGCTCAGAATGGACTTCCGGAGGTGGCATCCACACATTTCTAGTGGGCCGTTCTGGGCCTGGGAGGCCTCCCTGGCTCAGAACAGACTTCCAGAAGTGGCATCCACGCACTTCCGGTGGGCCGTTCTGGGCCTGGGAGGCCTCCCTGGCTCAGAACAGACTTCCGGAAGTGGCATCCACGCACTTCCGGTGGGCCGTTCTGGGCCTGGGAGGCCTCCCTGGCTCAGAACAGACTTCCGGAGGTGGCATCCACGCACTTCCGGTGGGCCATTCTGGGACTGGGAGGCCTCCCTGGCTCAGAACAGACTTCCGGAGGTGGTATCCACGCACTTCCGGTGGGCCATTCTGGACCTGGGAGGCCTCCCCGGCTCAGAACGCACTTCCTGTGGTCCATTCTGGTCCTTGTGAAAAAGAGCTTAGGCAGTGGTGGTGAACCTATGGCACAGGTACCACGGGTGCCAGAGGTGATACTCAGTGCCCTCTCTGTGGGCACGCGCACTGTCGTCCCAGTCCTAGGCCTTCAGCTGGGTTTTGTAGAACCTTTTCGCTTTAGGCCTCCGCCTAAAAAAGGTTCAGTCAGTCCATTTCAACTTCTCGCAGGAAAAAAAAAGATCTTGCAAAGTTGGAATTGATCGACTGAACTTTTTAATTCCCACCCAGTCTGCTGTTACCACTGCAGCCACGCCCACCCAGTGGGCCACGCCCACCCAGTGGGCCACACCCACCCGGCACCCGACGGAGTGGGTTTTGGGTTGCAGTTTGGGCACTCGGTCTCTAAAAGGCTCACCATCACTGGGCTAGGGCTTCAGCCAGTTCGCCAAAGTCAACAAAAAATTGTTGTGTGAATCGGCTGAATCCCACCGCTGCTCTTAATGCCCCAAATCTCTTCGGAATCAGTTTCCATAGTGTGCATATTTTTTCCTTTTTTTTAATTTTTTTTTTTTTTTGATGGGTAATTCAAGATCTTTTGTTGGTTGTAAAAGGGGGCAAACTATAATTTTTGCCTCTTCTTACAAGATTACATATCATATATTTATGGCAAAGGATGAGAACTGGATTGGCACAGAAGCCATTTTGCAATCCTAGAGAATTTAAAAAAAAAAAACCATTCTTATGCAATCTAAAGTTGGAGTGGATGCATGTTAAAAGGGCTTTAATTAACTAGGTGTTGCTTTGTTCTTTGAAAAATCCTCCTGATCTTGAAAGAAGAATCCAGAGGTGATTGCTGGATTTTTTTTGCCGACAGTGATGAACTTGGTTCAAAACATGGAATAAACCTTTGTGGATTACATATATGTATATATCTCACCATCTTCCTGAGGAGACCAAAACAAGGCACACATTTCTCCTGCTTTCTATTTTTTTTTTCTTCTTAAATCCCACACAACAGGGGTAGGCAACCTTGGCTCTTTTATGACTCGTGGACTTCAACTCCCAGAATTCCTGAGCCAGCCATGCTGAGGAGAAAGGGAGAGGTTTCTAAGCTGAGCCATGCTGGCTCAAGAATTCTGGGAGTTGAAGTCCACGAGTCATCAAAGGGCCAAGGTTGCCTACCCGTGGGCCAGGCCGCTTTATGACTCATGGACCAACTCCCAGAATTCCTGAGCCAGCATGGCTCAGCTTGGAAACCTCTCCCTTTCCCCTCAGCATGGCTGGCTCAGGAATTCTGGGAGTTGAAGTCCACAAGTCATAAAAGAACCAAGGTTGCCTACTTCTGCCCCACAACATCCCTGTCAGGGTAGGCCAGACACGGAGAGAAAGAAAAAGGACTGGCTGAAAGGCACTTTCTATTTGGAAATGGTTGAGGGAATTCCTTGCTTTCTTGGTCTGACAGCATTCTGATATTCCATGTGAACCCAACCTTGATCTGAGATCTTTTGAACCGTCCTGGACAGAAATGAATTTTAATCCAAACCATAGAGTTGAAAGGGACCTCAGAGGTCATTTAGTCCGATCCCCTTGCTCCAAGCTCTGTTGAAACATCTCTGACGGATTAGCCTCTAAAGACCTCCACTGAGAGAGACCTCACTATGGGGGGGGGGAGAGAAAAGGGCTCTTCCACTGCCTGATTAGGAGGCAGACGCTGTGGTCCCGTAAATCAGTGGTTCTCAACTTTTTTAATGCCACGACCCCAACCGGTTGTAAGTTGAGGACTACCCAACCGGCCGTAAGTTGAGGACTACCCAACCGGTCGTAAGTCGAGGACTTTCCCTGCCCGGGAGGGCCGCACATGCGTGGTGCCGCCCCTTGCGCCGACCGAGGCGTAGCTGGCAAGCGGCAGAGACGGCGCAGGGCAACCACTGGCTGGGCCACCAGCTGGCCCAGCCCAAGGGAGATAAGGCACCCGCCGGGCCCCACGCGCGCCAGCAACCCTCCCTGCGCCCGCCGGCCTCCCACCTCCCACCCCTGGCCCTCTTTTACTTACATTTTTAGTAGTTGCTCAGCAGGGAGGGGTGGAAACTTCCAGACAGCTCGCCTTTGCTGCAGACAACTTGTAGCACCGTTTGCAGAATGGACTTTTGGCGGGCTCAGCAGGGCAGAGACAGCCTGGACAATTCCTATTGGCTTTTGAAAGCCAATAGAATTAGACTCTATTCAAGAGAGTCTATTCTATTGGCTTTCAAAAGCCAATAGAATAAAAGGGAGTAGCACAGCTAAGGAAAAGGAGAAAAAAATGGCGGACTGCGTTGTTTGACGACCCCCGTGAAATGGTCGTTCGACCCCAAATGGGATCCCGACCCACAGGTTGAGAACCGCTGCCGTAAACCCAACTCGGAAGGGAACATCTCTTCTAATGCAGCAGCACAATTTGGTAAATTGTAAGTAATATTTCAGCCTGCTTTCTAGCATTCCCAAAGGTTGGGAAACCTATCCTGTTCCCTTCCTGTCTTACAGTCCATCCATTTCTTCATTTCCCTACTACTCAAGGCAGCCAACGTGGTTCTCTTCATGCACCAACAGTTGTGCAAGGAAAACGGGGGTGGGAAGGAAGAAGCGGTTAAATTTGACGCTGGATTCCCCCCCCCCCAAAAAAAAACCCCACCAGAAATGTGTTTCTAGAACTGCTGTGGTCCTCAGAAGAATTAGAAGGTGTTCTGTCACTGGATCCCACGGTCTTAAGAAAAAGGATTTAGGAAAGTTGGCTTTGGATCAATTTCTCTAACAGGAAAAAACAATATTTTTGCCATCAGGGAAAGCAGACCTGAAAAACCAGATTGGGGGGGGGGGATCAGTGAGGGAGAAAATCTTAACTCGATGGCATAAGACTCAGTCAACTTACTGGCTCTGAAAAGTGTGCCTCTACATATTTCCTGTCCATCTCAAGAATGCTGGGGACATTTAGCAACCCGTCTTTATACCACGGTGTTAACCCAGTGTTATTTCAGTACTAGTCGGGGGCTGGACTAGATGACCTCCAAGATCCCTTTCATTCTATGAAACTATTATCCCACTTCTTCCTCCACACTGTTTCGACAAAACAAAGTTCAGGGGACTTTCCTGGTTTATTATAGGTGATATAATTATTGTAATTGTATTCTATTATCTATCCTGATGGGAGAGCTCTATGGAATAAAGCGCTTAAATCGGTAACATTTCCCTGATCTTCACAGCTTTTCTCAAAACCATGTACTTATGAATTGCTAAATAAAACCGAATCAAAACATGGTCAGTTTTGGAAACTTGTTTTTTTGTTAAAACGACTGCTTATCCAAATACCACTTCATCGGATTATGAAATGGTTTAAACTGTTACGTGTCCTGGTGGCGCGGTGGTTAGAATGAGGTAGTAACTGTAGTAGTAGCACTATAGTAGTAGTACTACAGTAGCAACTATGAGAGGGATTTCGAAGTCCTAGTGGACAATCACTTAGATATGAGCCAGCAGTGTGCTGCAGCTGCCAAAAAAAGCCAACACAGTGCTAGGCTGCGTTAACAGGGATAGAATCAAGATCACATGAAGTATTAATACCACTTTACAATGCCTTGGTAAGGCCACACTTGGAATACTGCATCCAGTTTTGGTCATCACGATGTAAAAAAGATGTTGAGACTCTAGAAAGAGTACAGAGACGAGCAACAAAGATGATTAGGGGACTGGAGGCTAAAACACATTGCTGGAATGATTGCTGGAATTGGATATGTCTAGTTTAATGAAAAGAAGGACTAGGGATGACATGATAGCAGTGTTCCAATATCTCAGGGGCTGCCCCAAAGAAGAAGGAGTCAAGCTATTCTCCAAAGTGCCTGAAGGCAGGACAAGAAGCAACGGATGGAAACTAATCAAGGAGAGAAGCAACCTAGAACTAAGGAGAAACTTCCTGACAGTTAGAACAATTAACCAGTGGAACAACCTGCCTCCAGAAGCGGTGAATGCTCCAACACTGGAAGTTTTTAAGAAGAGACTGGACAACCATTTGTAATGGTATAGGGTTTCCTGGCTGAGCAGGGGGTTGGACTAGATGACCTCCAAGCTCCTTTCCAACATTATTATTATTAAAAGGTATTGCAAGCTAATTCTGCCCACTGCCAGGAGTTCGATCCTGACCAGCTCAAGGTTGACTCAGACTTCCATACTTTCCAGGTCAGTAAAATGAGGAGCCAGGTTGTTGGGGGCAATATGCTGACTCTGAAAACCACTTAGTGCTATAAGACTATAAAGCAGTATATAAGTCTACATGCTATTGCTACGTGAATGGAGCTAGTAATGGACCAGAAACCATCTCCATGAGTTTCCCAAGCAAAATCTGCACTTAAGTGCCAACCAAAATGTTATATTTCTCTTCCCACATCTGAGTCCAGTAAGAGAAGTATGGTTAAAATCAATATAATTAATATAAACACACAAAGTGCCATCCAAAGCACATGAAAAAAGGAGCACAGCCTCCAGGATGAAATACTAAATGGACAAGCAAAAACACATTTTGTTGTTGTTTTTTTAAATTAAGTTTATTGGAAAAACAGAAGGACGATGTAAGTTAAAAGCAGCTATCAGGAGACAAATTCTGACATACTTCCTGATCTGTAACACACACACACACACACACATACACACACACCGGCAATCTCAACAGGACTTGCATCATGGGAGAGCAATTTGGCCATAGAAGATGAAGTCTAATGAGAAATACAGGTAATCCTCAAC